GTGTCGAGGAAACCAGACAAAAGACTGAGCCAGCAGGCCTGAGCCACTCAGAGCTTCAGTGAAGCAGTGGTTGATCCCCTACTAAGACCAGTTGTCTGTACGTCCTCAAACCAAAGTCTGGCCTATGGAAACTGGCAGCTCCACCATAATAAGCTCAGCCATCCATAACCCAGCCCCTCCAGGGCAAAATCATCTCTTTTTAATGGCGAATGGTGCTCAAGGAATGTTTAACAAGCTATCGACATGTGACAGAATTGTGCTGTCCTCCTCATCACCAACAGCCTGCCATACAAAGGATAGAATAAAAGGTTTTCTAATATTTACATGGAAAGGTATGTGTAGCCATGTTTAAACTGTATGATGACTTTTATTTCAGATGTGTAAATAGACTCAGTACATTGGAGTGTATAAAACAATGTAAATGACCAGAATAAATTCTGTGAGAAATCACAGTTTACTTCAGCTTTTTTTAAACAAGTGACAAGATATCTTTACATATTACAGCTTAGATACACACGTTTTTAAAAAGCTTCTATGATAAGAAACGCTGTAATTATCTGCATTTCACATTTATTTACATGAAACTGTGGCTATTTAGAAAAGCAAACAGCAGCTGCTAGCTTCCGATACCATCTGGGCCTGCAGGAACATTAAAATATTTTTTCCAGAATAATGTGAAACTGACAGCAAGGTCAAGGTTTATAATAGTGTTTGCATAAAACGCTTTAACATTTTTCATGTTGGTGTGATTTTTAGTAGCATTTCGGCCTTGGTGCAGCTCAGATTAGCTGTTTATCAGTTTGAACAAATTTATGCTTTTTTTCTCCAAGCTGAGGCTGTTCAAATAGTTGTATGTCTGGTAAAATATTAGGTATTCATAACCTTTCCACAGAATTGCTATCAGCAGATCTGAGCATAGCTGTAGGCATGGGTTTCAGCTGTGGGGGACTGTGAGCAAACTTAAAACGCTAAGTGAAATAAATGCACTTCTGGCTAAAGCAGGTGAGAAAATGAAGCCGTATGAAAGCACTGCCATTTTAAAATGTTAGCCACAGCTATACAGCAACAGGGATGTTTTTTTTCCAGGTTTATGAAACTCACTAAAATCACATCAGGATTGGAATTTAAATGTATGCAACACTAATGACATATGTTGTTTTTTAATTTTTTTATTCTGTATCATTTTATTTGAACCCGCATGTCCTCTGACATTCATCAGAGGGTGCTGCTCCTCTCTTTTACTTTGCAGTGCCTTGAAACTGATCTATCCTTTTAATAACAAAGTCCATGCTCAATAATCCAGGTATATAATCCAACATTTTTCAGTCAGGTCATCTGGACAGTTTCTTTGTTTGTGCTGAAACATTTCGCCTTCGATCCAGAAGGCTTCATCAGTCAAGGAAACACACAACAAAACTGATTCTTCCTCCAACAGCTTATCCCTTTAATGTTTCGGAGCAGTGGTGTAGTCTACATTTTTGTAGTGGGTATACTGTGCTTAGAAACCAAAGTGCACTGGTTAGTACAATGGAGTTGTCATTTTATTTAGATTTTTAAGCATATTGAACATTTCCAAATTTCTCTTATTCTCTGAATAAATGTACAACAAAACTTTGTACAACAGTTGGCTTTGTGTTAAAAACATGGACTTTGTAAAACAGTATCAAAGCAAAACATGTTCAAGTATTAAGTAGTAAGTACAGAATTATACAATAATTCACTGGATAAGCAAATGTAATAAACAAGCGCTGCATACAGATTAATTGTTAGGGAAGCATTTAATTGCCGTTTAACTTATCAATGATACGTTCCTAATGGTATGTCATGTAAAATTGGCCACTTTTAAATGGGTATATTGAAATTCTTAAGCTTTTTTAGTGGGTATACCCGCATATCGTGTAGACTACACCACTGTTTCGGAGGTAATTCCCTTTCTCATCATGGAGGTGTGCACCTCTCTCTTGGACTCACCTGAAGGATTTTTGACTATTAATGGCAATACTCATCCTGACTATTTACTCAACTGGTTTACCTCACTTAATGTCTTTTTTTAGTCCGCCTTTTTAAATTTTAGGAATGTTTGCAACAGTTAAAAGCTTTGCATTTATACTGAAATCACTCCTTTAATCTTTCTCTCTGCCTCATTTGTCGACTTCATCACTGTTGGTAAAATTAAAGGCTGCAGCCAGGAGCCACAGTTTATCTTTCGAGTGCCAGCTTCTGTCCATAGCAACATTAAAGCCGCCCACATCATTGAGATCTTCATCCTGAGGGTTCCAGTCCCATTGCAATCTTGGAGAGAATATTTTAAATACTTTCCACCAGTGAGAGACTATACCAGCCAATGAGCAGGAAATAAACAGAGACAGTCCAGTGACATAAAAATGTCTGTGTTCGATACGAAAGAACTCTGTTTTTGAAGTGCAGATGACTTTAATTTAAATAGAGAAACTCTGAAAACCCTAAATAAAAAATAAAGATTTTAAAAATTATAGAATACTATAATGGGCTGTAAAAAAAAAAAAAAAAAGTAGTGCATAATTTGGTGGCATGTTGATAAAATCCCAGAGGATGTACTTTTCCTGAACTTCAGAGGAAAACCTGCCATTTGATTTGTATCCCTGGTCAAAAGAGGCTCTTTGAGCGTACAGTAATAAATGTTTCATGCAGAGAACAGGAGCTGGACCCCTGAAGTGAGATCTTACTAAACAGAGAGGAGGGCAGATGGGCCACAGAAACCCACCACAACTCAAGATTAAAGTGGACAGCAGGCAGGTGTGAGTAACACATAACAGGTAGCATACAGTATGTGTCCAGAATCAATGCCACATGTAGACTAACCCAAAACACTGAAACATGTTCTTTCTTTTCAGTGTCCAAGAAGTGACTCTTTTTGTGTAAACAATCTTCTACAGAACTGTTTCGTTTCAAGAATATCACGAAAAGATTTTTCAGTTCTTTCTTTCAACAAACAGTGAAGCAACTGGGCAAAAGGATGTTCTGCCAAATTTGCTTATGTAACCACAATACAACAGTTCATTTTATCCATTAGAAGAAAATAAATCTCCGATTGTCGCAGTAATGTTGAAATACTTGCTCTGATTTTGATCCCTGAACGTGTTGCAGGTCGTCTCCCATTTACGGCTTTCACAATCCCCTGCATGTGCATATGTGGGTGTTTGGGTTGAGGAGCAATCACTTCCATTCGGATATTATATGCTTGCGCAAAGCCTCGCCACACGCTGTTTACTGTTTGCACATGCAAAAGTTGTGAGAACAAGCAGGTTGATGAGCTGTGTTGGACACTTTGATCTGGAAACTTCTGGTCTTAAACCTCACCTCAAGCTGAGAGAAGCTCGTTAAATACTTTGGCTTTCACTTGTTTCCACGTTGACTCTCCTGTCGCGCACTCACACTCACTTTGCCTGTGAGAGAAGTCAATATGTCCTTTCGGCTGTCAACTGATTTTACCCATTGTGCATCTCCTGCCGTCTGTCTGGTCTCCATGGATTCATTTATAACAATTCGCAAACACATGAAGACACACACAATTATTAACTCAAATAAATCAGATTCACAAGATAATTATCCAAAAATTGAGATTATCGAACTAAAATATTAAATGCAACTTACAGAAAGTTGGAACTTTAATTTAAAAAAGAAGAAGCTGGTAATCAAAAGTAGAAATGCATTTATTATTCTCAAATGACCCCCTTTTTCTAATTCTAATGGACTTTCATGATAAAGTGTGTTCTCAGCAGGAGGTACACTTTCCCAAATAACTTAAGAAAGAAAGAATAGAAAATACAAACCAAGCACTTATTCACATTTTTCATGTTGCTCTGAGATTCAGACAGAAATGTAGCAAAACACATCCTGCGTCTGTGCAAATACAAGCTTTTGTGATCGTCTGAGTGAGGGGTTTCAGATTATATTTACATTGTGAAATTCCATTTAGTCGGCTGTGTGCATTTGCCTAAAAACATTGGTACAAATGGCATTTCAAGTAATAACACAAAAACGTTAGAGGGACACACCTCGCTTGAAGTTTTATACCCAAACAACTTAAAAGGTCTCATTTACTTTCATTTTTCACACAATGACTTGCACAGGAAGATGAAAGCCAAACATCTTCATCCCGTTTAATGCTCCAATAATGCGGTAAACGATGAGGATGTGAATGCACGCACACACCCCCACACACTTGGACAGAATGGAAATTTTCAATGCGTCTGTACACAAGCACCGTAATCGGTTAGGAATTCACTTAAACTGAAAACAACTTTGTTTTGTTTTTTTGTTTTTTTTCCAAAACACAATTTAGTTTATCTATTTGTTTCTTTGCCATAATGTTATTAGAAAATATGTACTTCACAATTACACCTAAAACATTCAATCATTGTGAAATAAAAAAATAAAAAAATTAAAAACACTAACAAAATTGTAAGTTTTTAAAGATAAACCTAGAAAAAAGTTTAATTATTATTCTTTTTTTTTTGTCAGTGTAGATTTTATTTTGTATCAAATACACTAAACTCCAGTGCTCTTCTGAGTTTTTTTTTTTTTTTTGTAAACTTTGCTGGTCCTGTCTTTAAGTTTTCATTGCTTTGGTTTGCACATAAGAAAGAGCAACATGTGCTCTCTGACTGTAGACGTTTTGTGAAGACATTTTGCAAAGGAATCCCAAAACACAAAATAAAAAATATAACCGTTCCTTCAAAATAAAAGCACTTTAACTCACCCCCTTACAACAAATTCATCCTTGATTGTCAAACTGCGTATATAGCCTATAGTTATGACATGTATTGAGCATGATAGCCTAACTATGAATTTATTTGATTAGTTGCAGCTGATTTTATTTTTGTAACTACCGGAAGTCTCCTCCTTCTTTTAGTGTGGCTTGACGGTGGTGCGTAATTTAACTCTGGAGCAGAGGCGCGTCTGTCACAGTTCCCCTGGACTTTACTCTGAACAGGATCGAACCGCAGAGATTTATTGTTGTTATATTTTTATGAAAATGGACATGAAGCTGCTGACAGTCGTGGCTGCGCTGACTGTGCTCATGTTTGCACCTGGTTCTCAAGGTAGGCAGATACTTTCTTACAGTTTTCCGCGACGATTCAAATTCAGATGGGTTTATTTGTTCTGCTGCTGCACCCGGGATGAGGAGTAAGGCAATAAGCATCACTTAAAAAGTTATCTGTCGGTGTGTTTTTAGAGACAGTTTGTAAGAAAATCATAATAAAACACAAAAATGCTCATGTAAAACGTATTTTGTGGACACTTTTACAGATTTTTTGCACTTAAATAGAAAAAAGACGTTAATGAACCTCAATTTTGGTCAAAAATGTATTCCTTTTTATTGTTTCTGAACTCCATTCATCTGCATTTTCTGTGCAAATGTGATTTTATGTAAATAATCCATGTTTAGAGTTTTTTAATCTTTTTTTTTTATTTTTTTTTACAAAGATGCTTATTTCATTCTGAAAAGGGGAAAAGAGCATTTTCTGCGTAAACAGGCTGTGCATGTCTGCAAAAGAAATGTCATAGTACTGTTAAACTGTGTATTTGTCTGTTTTCGTTTTTCTTTGCACATCTGAGGCATTATGAGGGAGTCGGTTAGGCGTCATTGTTCAGATAACTGCTGTCTGCTGCGTCTTTTTATCATGGTAATTCAGTCACCAGGTGTAAAACAAAAAAAGATTTTGCATCAATCTCACCATCTGTTTGTGTCCCCTTGAGGAGAATTTAGTTTGGATTTATAATGAGAAGGAGAAAAAAAACTAATAATTTTGTTTTCTTTATCAGTCTCTATTAAAACAACTAACTGCATGAACTGGTACGGACCATTTCATTCATTCATTTATTTATATGTTTTTCATGCATTCTGTCATGATAGTTCAAAGAAATTGAATTAAGGATGAAAAACATGTTTCTATTCAATTTTCTTTATTAACATTTGCATCCCCTGATGTCTGTGTTTGATGTGTTGTGCATCAAAACAAGGATATAGGAGCGTCAAATTGCAAGAAACCGCAGAAAAAGAGTGTCTAAATGTTTTAAAAAGGGGAGTTCAAACCCAAACAAAACAGTTTTGGGTTGATTAAAGTTCTGTATGCATGTATAAACTTGTCCTTTGAGATAACTTTCAATTTGATGGTTGAATAAGTGATTAATCTTGCTTCTTCTCAGTAAAACAATATAAACTTTGAATTTCCGGAGTGGTTTATCATTTGAACCTGATCAGTTTAACTGCAAGCCATAAGCAGGTTTTTGGCGCGCATGTTGTTTTGCTTCACTGAGCCTTTTCTATACTTTTCCCAGCAAAGCCCATCAGCCTGGTTGAGCGTTGTACCTGCCGTTCAGCTGTTAACAACGTCCCACGAGGCTACATTCGAGAGCTCCGGTTCATCCACACACCTAACTGCCCCTTCCAAGTCATGTAAGTGTTGATTTTTAATGTTGAATTCAAGGGTGTTTTATTCTTTTGTCAGCTCTGAAAACTCTGACAGTTTTGTTTTTTCCTTGACATTTCTCACCATCAATCTCTAAGACGTGACAGGCCAGAGAAAAGAGCTGCCGCATGCATATGTACACACACACGCCCTACGCTCAACCGCCCATTAATACACAAAAAACAAGACCAAAATTTAAAAAAAACTAACACATCGACAGGAAGGGCTCTGTTAGACTGACGATGAATGTGAGACAAGGAAACTATCATCTCGAGTTTTGTAAATTAGATTTTTCCTTATTGTCACTGTATTTGTGGCAAAATTACACAAAACACACAAGAACAACACAATCAGTTGCAAAAAGGAGATGTGTATCAGCGTTCCCAAAAATATAATTGTCAGATATTTAAAGGCATCTGTAGAGTAACATAATCAATGATTCCAAGCAACTTCAATTTTTTTTCCCAAAAGCAGATGCTTCTAGTTTTGGATCAGTTTTGAAACTTAACAGGTTTACGCTGGTGCACATTATTGAGCTAAAAATCACACATGAAATATTTATACTTAAAAACTCATCTTTAAGAGTTTTATTTTTACCAGCTGCATGACACCTGGCCAATGTGGGCAGGTGGGTCAGAGTTCCACCTGAAAAAATCATTTGTCCCACAAAGTCTTCTTCTTCTTTCGGCTTTTCCCTCTTCAGGGGTTGCCACAGCGAGTCATCCTCCTCCATCTCACTCTGTCCTCTGCATCCTCTGTCCTCACTCCATCTACAGTATCTCCATGTCCTCTCGAACTGCATCCATATATCTCCTCTTTGTCTTTTTCCTGGCAGCTGCATTTCTGACATCCTTCTACCAGTATACCCAGTGTCCCTCCTCTGGACATGTCCAAACCATCTCAGTCTGGCCTCTCAAACTTTATGACACAGTTGTCCAACCTGTGCTGTAACTTTGATGATCTCATTCCTTATCTTATCCATCCTTATTGTCACACCTAAGGAGAACCTCAACATCTTCATTTCTGCCACTTCCAGTTATTTCCCCTGTCTTCTGTCAATGCCACTGTCTCCAGACCAAACAACACAACTCGTTTCACAAAGTAGTTCCTCCTAATAAATAAGCTGTGTGTCATTTTGTTCAGTGTATTTTCAACAATTTTGACAATTTTAAGTGAAATTTAAATTAGTTTTAAAAATTCATCCTCAGTTTATTACTTATTTACGGTTATGGGGTAGTACCGTTCAATGCGTTCGTCCAGCGGATCCGAACGTGCAGCCAGTGATCCAAACAGGTGGGTCCAATAGAGTTTCCTTTAGGGCATCTGATTCTCTGCACTGTGGACACATTCAGCTGGTTTTAGCAAATTGATACAACCACTACCTAGACTTGACATGAGCTAAAACCCAGAAATAACTGCAGAGAAACCTGCTGAGACCAACAGTGGAGATATCCTGTTTCTAAATCCAGTTGAAGCAGACAGAGGGGACCAGAACAGAAAACTGAGAAGAACAGAGAAATGTCAAAGAACAGGACATTGCTGCCAACATGGCACAACCTTAAGTCTGTGGTTTGTGTGTCTGGCTGTGGTGGGTCAGTGGTTGAAGCAGCGGTATTATAACTGGGTGCTTGTGAGTTTGGTCCCCACTTGAATCTTCTGTTTGAGTCGATAATGATATATTGTATCATCATTTTCCACTTTTATATTATTTTTGAGTTACTTTACTGACCTTCTTTCTCCTATCTGTGTTAATCTGAAGTATTATTTCTGAATTATTACTTCAAATCAAATTATAAATCCAATTAAAAAAGCTGTGCACCTGTCAGCTGGATGTGGGAGGCGTCTCTGATTTTTTTTATTTATTTATTTTTTTTTAGACTGAACTGTTTTTCACAAGACACAACCTCGACGGGAAGGAGAAAAAAGGCAAAAACTTTGTAGATGCACACACAAGAAACAACAATAAATGAATTATTAAGCAACATATATCCATTTTTTCCCAGCAGATAATGTAACACAATTGGTAGAAATTTTCCTGAAATTAATGTCAACCTCACTGAAGTTTTTGCTCAGGAGCCACCACTGGCCTCATGTGTTCCTGCAGCAGTATCACAGGCTGCCTATAAATTGCAACAATTTTTCTTGTGCATGTCAAAATAACAAGCCAGTGTTAAATCAGTCTCTTTGATAAGTGTTAGGCTACCCGCTGGTACTGATTTGGCATAATTCACTCTTTCATCTTTAGTTAAGTTGTTTATTTTACTTTTTAACTTTTTTTCTCTGAACAGTGCTAAGCTGAAGACAAACAAGGAAGTGTGTGTGAACCCTGAGATCCGGTGGCTGCAGCAGTATCTGAAGAACGCCATCAACAAGTAAGGACCAACAACACAACATACAATTCTGACAGTTTAATTTTTTTTTAACTTTAGCTGGTGTTAAATCAATTATACTCCATTGAGTTTTAAAGCATACATCCACAATGGGATTTCTAGCTAAATATTTTTGTGGGAACGAGTTTTCGGTTATGCAATTTATGCCCAAACATGCAGCTACATGTCCAAGTGGGAGTAGAGACGTATTCCCCTTTAACATCAAACTATGGGCGCGATGTGGGACAATGCAAACCACATTTAATCTGATCTTACAATTTACTGGCATTAGAAGTTCATTTTTGTTCATCACTGTTTATATAAGAACTGCATCTGCAAGAATAGCTTTATTAAACGTTCCCATCCTGCAGGTAAATTTTGACAATGAATAAAATAATGTAATTTGGCTTTGTTATAGCCGTTTTTGTGTTCGTTGAGGTTGGTTGGCTGTGGAAGCCATCATAAATTGGGTTGACTACAAAAGTTAGAGTTGCAGATGTTCACACAGTTATTACTATCTGATTATTTAAAATCCATCCTGTGTGTTGGTGAAGATTCTCAGTCATCCAGGACATGATAAATTCAAAAAACGTTCAATACAAAAACAACTGGACTTTATTAAATTTATTAAATTAATCCATCCTGTGGTTCATGACTTATTTTGTTAACACTTTAGACCAGGGGTGTCAAACCCACTTATTACAAAAGGGGGCCAAAATTAAAGCCTTTTTCAAACTAAGGGCCGGTTTCAGAATCTGCTTTTACTCGTTAGATACCCAACATCCTCTTGGTTACAGGTTCCTCAGCAAGAGTTTGATTGATCTCATTTGAAGTTCTCTGTTGCACTTTTGACATCATAATCTAAGATTACTGGAAAAAAATAGTGATAAAAGTATTTTACATTTAAAATAGCATCTTGGGGGCCAGAGAAGATGTCAACGAGGGCCATATTTGGCTCTTGTTGAGTTTGACACATATGCTTTAGACAAACAACACAAACAGATAGACATGGGCTAAAACACCTATCACCTTTGGCAGCGGGCGAGAATACATTTTTGAAAAAGCTCAAAATTCAATTAAAAAAAAACAACTAAAATTATTTTGTTAGATTGACTTGTGCCTTATTTTCCCACTGACTGAGTCCATGTTCCTGCAGTTTGTCTCAAAGATTGTGAAAACCTTGATTAGAGGAGTAAATTTCTCTCTGCATAACAATACTTGCTTACAATAAATTCAGACTGTGTGTGTTTCCAGTTGCACATGCAGCCAAAGGAGAGTGGAAAAAGATATGTTTATATATAAAGATTAAGCATTGCACAGTTGTAACCAATGCATTACTCTGCTTTTAGTCTAGTAAACAAAACATTTATTTATTTATTTATTTTTAAAGTCTGGTTTAAATGCAGAAAAGCATAATTTAAGTGTCAATAAACCGCCCACACGTGTCCAAGTGTTTACAGTGTTTTATACAGTTTATGCAAAAAAAACTGGGTGGATAATTCGGCAAAATAATGCTCTGCTAACGTTCATTGTTAAACGCGCAATTAATCAAATCTCAACACAAAATCAAACTAAGATGTATTTGGCTCGAGGTTCAGCTCTTTATTGTGGGCTACAACCATTTCTGGCTCTGCAAATGTGTTGCAGCTGTTTGTATTTGACAGCCTGGAACAAAATGTTTCTGAACTTTTACCACTTGAACAAATACTCGCTAACTTTTCTAAATGATGTCACTAGTTAGAATTCAACCATCTAGTTAGACACTTTTTGCCAACGTTATTGTTACAGTCAGTTCTCATTGTTATTCATCTTGAATCTACTGTCTTCATATCTGGTTTGTTCACTTTTCCTCTCCAGGATGAAGAAATCCAAGCAGGGCATTTGAGGGCCTTCATCGCAGATACTGTATGTATCACATCGTCATCTAACGTGTTATACAGCACCTGTCCAGCTGTTCTACTGCAGCCTTTTGCATGGAACGTATCTACACCTCTTCACCACGAACACCATCTCAGCTGTGCTCTATCACCACCACGCTCACGTCTTTTAGCAAATACTTTATGGTGCCACGTGCCATTATCTATGTGAATGTTTGTTTTGCTAACCATACTGTATATACATTTTGGTTAATGGACATTAAACAATAAAAAGGTATTTAATTGTTTTGGAGATGTCCCTCTAGCCTTTAATAAAAAGTGCATAAACTGAGGCCAATGTGTTTAGAAATGGAAGAGAATGATGTTCACACCATGCATCCTTTTGTAATTAAGAGAGTTTGGTTTGTTAAACCATTACATTACAAGTGATCCTAAACATCATATCTGCTTGTCAGGAACATATGTTTTCAAATAGTTTAAAATGGCAAACTAGAAATTATTTATTCTTTAGAAAAAATAAATAAGTTTGTTAATTGGCACCAAGAAATGTCAATGTGGACCAGCTGCCCTCAGACTGAACTCAATATCCAAATAAAACCTGCAACTAGACTGTTTTTCGTAAAAGAATTGGGATGCCAGAGGAGCCTGAGTGTTTCCTGAGCTGTGCTGTGGCTTGTGCAACCCTGATCCATCCCATATGCTTTTTCTGTCTCAGATTTAGAAAATGGAACTTTTTGTTCCTGAAAACTTTTAATTAGGTAGCCAATGAGTTCAGACGTAAAGCTGAATCAGTAAACTAAGAGGAGGGAAGAACAGGTCCTGATACTCACAAATCAGAGCTGACAGCGTTTGTCTCTGTCTGGGTTGCACAAACGTGCACGCCCAGGAAGGGTGCACATCAAATTAAGAACAGTTTCCATGTGAGAATTTAACACTAAAACACTGTTAGCTGCTGAGAAAGAAGCTCCAAATGGATTGATGTGTATGGATGTGACTAGACGTCACGCATGTATCAATGCACTTTATATCTGATGTATTTTCTTGTGTTAAAAACAAAATGATAACTAACTATAATCTTTAATGTCTGTCTTTTGTAAAACTTTTTTAATGCTTTCTATCTTTCTGTTTTGCCTTGTTGGTGTCACCAGTTAACGTCTATTAGATCTTTACTGTGCATCTATTCATTTAAATCTTTGTAATGTGTAAAATTATTGTTATACAAAAGTTTATTTTTGTACTCTTACACTTTTATATGTTACATTTAAATGAAGGAACTGTACTCACAACTGAGCCAGCCATCTTTTTTTTAATTGCAAAACTTGTATAAAATGTTCTTTAAAATTTTACAGCTTTAATGTGTGCTTTCCTGTACATGTTTTGAACTTAATCCTTCTTGTATCAGTACATTCTGCTTGTTTAGGTGACTTTTTGTATTAATTGTAAAGCAATCTTTGTCGGGGCCAATATGCAGTTGCCATAATCTTCCTGTACCAGTAGGTTCAAGGGTAAATGTAAGTCTTTCAAGTGAGAACATGTGTTTGGCTTTACTCTCAAGGGCAAATTAAAGGCAAGGACAACAATCCTGCTTGCCATTTAACTATTAACTCAACAAGCAGCCATTAGGAAAACATTAGTGCTAAAAGGGATGAACTTTTAACTTTTCTCTAATATGTGCTGCAGAGCACATCTGACATGTGCGCGGTTTCCTGATTGAAACATCAAGGATAGATAAAGAGAATCTGATTGGTGGCCCATTTTAGAACGCTGATATCCAGGTTGAGCCACAACCGGTGGGCCGGAAGCTTTGTCCAAAAATGGAAAATATTTCGATTTAATCGCCGGCTTTAAAGTCTGCTACCACGGGATTTTGCAGGTAGAAACAGTAATGTGAAGATTGGGCAGCTTAAGGTTTTATTGTTCTTTTGTTTTGTATCAGCGGAAGATGCCTATATAAGGGGTTATTCAAAGACCTTTGTTTTGTGACACTAAATCAATTAAACTTTTCAAAACAAGAAAAAGTCATGTGTCATTTGCCTTTTCTTGTCCATATCTTAGTTGATCTTTTATATTAGTGCTGCTTAATCTATGTGGGCTGTTTGGCAGAGTAAACAAAAGTGAAAAATGTGTCTAATACAAAGCAGTTGCTTGTAATAGTTTCTAATAGTTCATCGTTTTCCTGGGGCTGGTGCCAACACACCCACCAGTTAAACTACACAGGTGCTATGATTTGTGCCAGGAAGCCTGAGGATTTGTAAAGTGGAGGCGTAAAAGATAGACATTTTATTTGCACATTACAAATGGAAAACATTGGGGAAAATGCTAGTAGGTATCACATAAAACTTGTAAAGGTAGCTCATTTAATTAAAAATGGCAACGCCTGAGAAACAAAACAACTTAGGCAAAAGTATAAAGAGGCAAATATCCATTAAACATAAGGCTGTGAAAAGTAAATGAGCTGTGTTGAATACTAATGCATCTGCACATCAGGTTTCCGACAACATAAAAAGATATGGGTGGGGTAGGTGAAGCACCCACACCTGCCCCCACCCTCATTCACCCCACCCTGGGCCCATGAGCAAGGCCCTTAACCCCCATCTGCTCCCTAAACAGGTCTCCCTTGAAAATGAGTTCTCATGGCTCAGTGAGACTACCTGTATAAATAAAGGGTAAATGAAAAAAATAATAATAATTTGACAGACCAGCATTAATGATATTCACGGGAGCCATCTTACTACTTAACGCTAGTTAAATCTTAAAGAAAATCCTCTTTCTGCACATATAAAGCACCTCAGATAGTCAGCACCAAATGTAAATTAGTGTCTCATTCTACAGATTCAATCAGTTGTGAAATGGAGCGATATTGTAGATAAAAAAGAATCCTTGATAACTACCATTCAAGAATAACAACAAAATCTGAGAGTGAACAATGTATATGCACATTTGCAAGCATTTCTTCTATGAAGGTTATTATTTTTTGCTTGTAGTATGATCGTTATGTGGCTTTGATTGAATGAAGGTAATCACAATGTGTTGAGAAGAAATGCAGCAGAATGCAGAGGAGAAATAATCTCAAAATAAAAGGCTTAGAATTCCTTGAAGGAAGGCATATTTGTTGCTGCTGCATTTCACATCAGGGTTTTAAACTATTGTGCTGAAAAGGAACAGCTTCTACAGTCTGCATTTGATATCATTCAGTATGACTATCAGTACTTCAGTCTCAAACTGGTGCTAAATGCAAATAAAACCAAGGGGATGTTTTCAAACAGAAGGTTGGTGACGGCCGCTCTTCCCCCTATCTCATCTGTAGATGGTGTTCCTATTGAGTTTGTGGATTCTTACAAATACTTGAGAATTTTAATTGATAAGAGAAGGGAATTCTGAGATTGTCATCACTGTCTGGGAGTTGAACCGTGTCTTGGCCATCTCGGCCATCTCAGCCCCCCAACTAAACATCTGTCTTTTAAGTCGCATGTTAAAAGCTTGATAAAGAAACTGACTGAAACTGGGTTTCTTTTTCAGAAATGGTTCTTGCTTAACTCTGAATGCCAGGAAACGCCTTGTACTTTCCTTCCAACTATTGACTATGGTGACATTATTTACATGAATGCCCCTGCCAGCTACTTGCAGATGTTGGATGCTACCATGGCACACTAAGGTTCATAAGTGGTTGTAACTACCGTACCCATCACTGCACACTGTACTCCTTGGTCGGTTGGTCATCATTATCTACACGTAGGCTCTCACACTGGTACATCTTCATTTATAAATCACTTCTTGGTCTGCTGCCTTCTTATATCTCCTCCCACATGCCACGTCATCAGTGCAGTTACAACATGCGCTCTCAGGACATCATTACCTGCAGCGACCCCTCAGTGCAGACTGAACTCAGCAAAACGTCATTTTCTTCTGCTCCTGTAACCTGGAACACCTTGCAAAAAGCTCTGAAGCTGTCATTTTGATTCCTGTAAAGGATTTTAAACATTTGTTAATGTCAATTAAAAAAAGTTACGTAAATATGCTTTTGTTTTTAGCATTGTTTTAATATGTCACCTTGATTTGACTGTTTTTAAAACTACTTTTATTTGATTTTAATTGATTTTTGTTGAATTATTGTTGTCTGTCTAAAACAGGGCTCTCATGTGAATGAGTTCTCGTGACTCAGTGAGACTAACTTGGATGAATAAATGTTGAACGAGTAAACAGAATTATAGCATTTTTGGTCAAACCTTCTAAATGGCACTTTACCCAATCATTTACAATAATACTGTGAAATCTGTTGAGGTGTGTTAGCTCTGAGTATATAAACCTGTCAGCTACTAATATTTTACTACACCAACTTTTAGGTCAACAACTGTATATTTGACATGATTTTAGCAAATTTTGTATTTTAGGTAATGGTGGTAGCTGTCTTGAATCAAACAGCTTCCAAAAATTCAACATTTGTAGATAGATATTCAGTAATTTACCACTGAAACTTTCATTTTAATCCATCCACTGATTCAACAGTTAGTTTGCTAATAGACATGCATGACACCAACAGTTAATGCCAAAGTTTTAGGATAAAATGTTGCACTTAAATCGTGCAATGTCCAGACTGTTTGTTGGGGATAACACTTATCTCCCACCATGCTAAATTATAGTTCAGTATCTGTCAATCTGGTTAAGTTATAGACATTTTTGTGTTTTATGAGATTAATTGGCTGACATCTTGAACTGAGTTTACTCCAAAAGTTAATTTGTTGTGATGTACAGCCAATGATTGTTTTCTGAAGGTTGCATTACAACATGCCTAGTGGTTCAAGCAAGGAGGCTGCGGCAGCCTGGTGGTAAGTCCTGGGTGTCTCGTCATTTAAGAGCTGCAGATCCGAACCCTGAGTGACAACAACTGTGAGAACTGACACTAAACAGGTAATGCCAAAGTGCAGTGTGCAATCAATCAGTGCTTGAACAATGTGTTAGGGAGGTCTCACATCTACTACAATGGCAATTTTTCACTCAGCATATAAAACATTGCTCGAATTATAACAAGTTTTTGTGTTTGCTGAAGCTGATTAACTGTGGCAGCCATGCTGAATCAGGTTGACTCTAAAAGTTAATCAGATGTAGCTGAACACAGCATTTCTCACCACATTGCACTTTGCTATCTTGACCTTTTCGTTCAATGCAAGCCCAAGATCTTTGGCAACTTCACTTTTACTAGACAACGTGACACAGAACAAAAAGGGTTTTCTAATTGACAGAACTGTATTTTTTATATCTTTACAAACAAAATCCCAGACACACACACACTCATCATTCCAGTATTTGCCAGTGGCTGAGAACTGCACAAACTAGGAGAAAATATATGCAAATTATATTTAGTTTAGCTTTGGTTCTGCTAAAGTTTGGAGTTTAACCACAAAATGTCTGAGAAAAAACACACACTTTGACAGATGAAAAAAGATTTGAAGTGTGATATGGAAAAAATGACAAAGAAATAAGAGACACGCTGAAGATCTGTGTTCATTTAACTTATAGTAGTGAGTTCCAGTTCCCTCTATATTTAGCTGTAAGGGTTCCCAGATGTTCAGTCTATGAAATTCCACTTAACAGTGATTCATCATGAATATGAAATGAAAATATAAAATATTTTGTTTGGCTGTACATGAGTGTGAGCGAGAATAAGGGAGGATTTCATAGCCACTTTAAGAAGGAACCGCTGAACACGGATCCTCCTTCATACATGTTTTGCAAAATGGTCTATTGACCAAAGTTAGTTTTATGTTTTAACATCCATCTGTCCAATTTCTTTATGCGCTTCATCCTTTATGGGTTGCTGGTGCCCACGTCCAGCAGTCACTGTGCAGATACTGGACAGGTCGCAAGTCTATCACAGGGCCACATAGAGACAAACAACCATTTACACACTCACGCACACCTAGGGACAATTTAGAGTTACCATCAGCCTAACATGCAGAGAAATAAATTGTGCTTGCAAAGAATCCATCAAAAGTTTAAATTACATTTGGGTAAAAAAATATATTTTATTGTCACATCAACCATGATAACAT